AAACTAAATTTTAAACGAACTGAACACGAACACAAGATCTATTCGTTCGTGTTCGGTTCATTTACACCCCTATATAATAGGCATAATAATGGAAAGTAAAAAAAACAACATAAAATAAATAGAAAATAAAATAAAACAGAATAAAGCAAAAAAGAAAATACATAATCAGGGAATAAAAGAAAATAATAAATAAAAACGATGTGGGAATAGCCGTTATAATCTAATATGTATATAAATGCCCCCCAAAAAAATCCAAAATTTCTCATAGCTTTCCTAAGTCTACACCTGCAGCAATCATGTGGTTCACATTACAGAGACATCAAATTTTTGTCAGCTCATTGTTCTGAAAAGAAAATACAACAGCACCAATTTTCCAGGAACAGTTGAGACATCTAAAGCTTCCTAGTATGTGCGTAATTATAAATGAAAACCATTTTGGATTATTTTCAGTATATGGCATTTCTTCTAGGATTTGAAAAGAAACTTGGAGCAGCTTGGTATTTTGCTAGCTTGTTCATTAAAACGTTATATCCCACGCAGTAAGAGGATTATATCATCATCTGAAATTTATTTATTCAGAAAAGTGTCAATATAGTCCTTTGACTCTTTATAGGAGGTCACTCTTAGCCCCAAGGTTTATAAAAATGTTAAGTAGTCGGACTATTTTAGCACCAAATTTGGAGTCTAGGGACTAATTTAATACTGTCATATTCTGAGACTAATATAATCCCATGTAAATAATTAGGGGACTATTTTGACACTTCTATTTAGTTATTTTTGAAAATAACGAAATCAATACCTTTCTTGCTGCAGCTCTTAGCTTTGGTGCTGCACTTGTAGGAAGAAATGAATACGGTAACATGACTGCACTACGATTTGATCGATCCTTGCACTCCATAAACCTGGATGTTTATCATGATTAAGTCTTGCGCTTGATTTTTCAAATGTCACCTAGAATTTTTTTGCACATTGTATCGAACAATGCTTATGAAAGTGTTGTGAAAAAGAGTAGAAAAATTGTGTTGTTCGTAAATAAATAAGAGGGAAACTAAATATTTACCATGAAAGCGGATTTGCACTGCGGTTTATTAGCAGGACGTTTGAGTAAAAAGTATTGTCTCTGAGATCTTCCCTGCTAGTTCCCTCCACATGTAGTACACCTCTGTTTCCCAGTTTCATAGTTGTTGATACTACATGATACCACATCTTCGAATTATCAAGTATTAATGGTATAGTTTCGGAAATGAGATTCAGATCATACAAAGAGTCCATTGCACAAGAACTTGCTGCCCATCTAATAAGTAAATGAAATGAGAAGTTAAGAGGACTAAATGAGAATAAAAAGCTATCAGCAGTGAGATAAAATCACAGAAGTAGGAGATGTTGATAACATTTCGCAAAAATGATTTTGCATTTTAAAGAGCAGAAAAAATGTATATATATTATTGAGAGTTACCATATGTAAAACGCTTAGATTAACTTAGGATCACACACACCCTAGAATAGTCTAGCTAGAATCCTAGGTTAGATTACTATAACTCTAGTTAGTTCTAAGAACTAGAGCATACAAAACAAACAGACCTACCCCTTTTGACTATGTATATGCCCAAGGATAGAGTAATTCATGGTTACTGACAAAGGCATCTCGAATCATCTAATGGTGAGAATGTTTTGGGACTCTCTTTGGTTGAATTCAATGCTTTGATTGAGTTCTCTTTTGAATAAGTTCCTTTTTAAATTCACTAAAATTCAAAGATTCAAGCGTCAACTCCCAATTAACATCCTTCCTTGTATCCCCATTATAGGAAAGATGTCGCAACCTTTCTTCTTTAGAAATGGAAGAAACCAGACTCAATCAAATTCATCTCAATCATGGGTCAATGTCTTGTACAAATAAAGAAAGCCAAACTTTTTTCGAAAAGTTCGATCAAGCAGAATGCACACACTCAAAGAATTCTCTTCAATAAATCCGACAAAACAGAAAGGAGTTGTCATAAAATCTGTTCAAAGTTTAATGCTGAACTAAGGGAATTCAATCATCAACAAATCTGATAAAATACAAAGCACAATACCAATGATTTATTTTCACTGATTCAACATAATCTCAAAGGTTTAGTCACTAGTATCAACAATCCACCAAAGCAGAAGGTTAGGACTGAAGGTATGCTCGTTCACTAGACAAGTCTGTAGAGATAATTCGGGACAACTCCTTCAACAAATATGCCAAAGCATAAAGCTAAGATTGAAGTTAAGCTCATTCACCTGGCAAGTTAGTAGAGACAATTAAGGTCAATTTAATCAAAGTAGAAATCTAAGGACAAGATAAACTCAATGTCCCTATCAAATCAATAGCAACAAGTCAGAGGTGGTATCAACCAAAGTTGGCATATAATGTTATAAACTTGCATATCCATCTTGAAATTTAGAGATCCGTTAAGTTAAACTCTTAGCTTAACATCCAAATAATTTCTTAGAGATCAGCATGATCGATTAGTTATGATAAACAAGGTTTGTTTCAAGCCCGCACCATATTTGTTGAGGAACATTTGTTGACTCTTAAAATAAAATAAAAACAGAAGAGAAATAATTGATTAAATTAAAATTTTCTACCTACATGCTCCCACCCAAGGTCAATAACTGTTCTTTTTGTCTCCTCTTGGTTACAAAAAAATTCGAAGCCATCAGTCACACAAAAACAATCCGAAAAAAATTGAGCTCCTCCGTTCTCTCTATTTACATGCTCGTAGATTAGGGTTAGCAGTAAAGAGAAACTACAAGATCATTGCAAAGAAAGAATCTTGAACATTTCATGTGCCCTTCTGTGAAGACAACAGCAAGATCGCAATGCGCGGTAACCATAGAAGGAAAGACAATGACATGAATGATGCATACAAAGACTTCTGAAACTCTTATTTCGTTGCCTTGTTCCACAGGTAGAATTGCATTGCTCCTTTTTCAAAACATTGCTACTTCATGCCTCGCGTGCCAGTAATCGAAGCCACACCCTAGTAATCTTTTCCTTCCTTTTCCAACTGCAAAGCCATGCTCGAGCGCTCCTTTCCTTCCGATAACGTTGAATCCCAGCCAAAAGCCCGAGACCTCCTTCCTTTCATCGCCTCGCTGACGTTTGCACCATCCTTAGTGACAGAAACTAGAGCTTCATTTGAAACCCACACACAGAATGAGTCTTGCTTCTTCTACGCCTCTCCCGTCAATCCCCTTGGTAGTATGTAGAAAAGGTCACATGAAGCCCCCTCTTCTCCATTGTCCCTGAAGCCAAGCACCATAACTATAGCTGCAACTCACTCTTTGGTGTTGAACCAAATCGATCAGCCTCTATCCTAGTCCACATGCCAAGGATTTCTTCCCCTTTCCACTTATGCAAGCAACTCAATCGCTCCACTCTAACCCGAAAACCTTCAATTCCTCCAAAAAAAAAATCACAAACTCCAACTCTAACCCGAAAACCTTCAATTCCTCCAAAAAAAAAAAAATCACAAACTCCAACTGAGGCTTGCCCTAGCTCTATGCTTCAATACAACTGAAGCCCTCTGCGCTTTTCCCGTTTCCTCTATTGTGTGAACCTAAAACAAGAATAAATCCCTGTTCAATCTAGCCCTAATCCAAGCTAAACCTACATGAACTCAACTCCATATTACTGTTTCATATTTTATATTTTATATTGCATAAAAAATGAGAAAAAATAATGTATTTTTGTTTTCTTGTGTTGTCGATCGCCGATCCAGTCGTTTCATCGTTGTCAACGCTACTACTTTCTTGAAAGGTATAAAAATAGAGCAATATGGCAATTATTAAAATGTCAAATCCAAAAAGTGTGAGTACCCGTCTTTGGGTTTTAAAGTATTGTTCAGGGAAATCGCAAACTCATTTTGAAAATTTTTATAAAATTAGTGGTTTTAAAATACTCATCCTAAGAAATGTGAGAATCCATCTTTTGAAATTAAGTACCGTTCAGAGAAAGTAAAATACCGCTCGGGAAAATGTTTGCTTGCGATTTAACGCTTTTTGTAGGTACATTGAAGGCTTCTTGTGTGTTTTAAAGACAACCGATTAAATAACTTGTTTTTGTTCCACAATCACAGTATCTCACGATGCTGATTAGTAAGTATTTTAAGACAATTGGGAAGGCTGGCATTCTCCAAGTGCCCCCTAATAGGGGATGACGTAGGGAGACTGTCGAACTTTCAGGTGATTTGGACTTGTAAATAACATGAGACTTTAAACTTTCAAACTTATACAATAATTCAAAAAAAGGATTATTTGAATTTTAAAATATTTGAAAATTTGAAGCTATAAATTTAGGCTTAGGATTTTAAAAATAATTTAAATTTTGAGCTTATGAAACATATGCTCCTAGTGCTTAAAAACATGAAAATTTGGGTTTTTAAATTTAAGCTCATAAGATTTGAAAATATTTTAAAATTGAGTTTTTCAAACTTAGGCTCCTAGAGTTTGAAAATCAATTCAAAATTGGGTTTTTCAAACTTAGGCTCTTAAATCCACCCTAAATCTATAAGAATCACTTGGGTGATGCAACCTATAATTGTTAACAAGAATCTTTCAATTAGATTGGTTCGACTCTCTCCTTTAAGTAAATCAGGAATCATGACAACCCAAGATGAAGGAACCATTGATCGTGATCAGGTTCATCGTCGTTTCCTCCATCCACTTTAAGCTCAACTGATAAAATTTATAATTATAAGTATGTTGCTAGTTTATGTTAAATATTTAGTGTTTAACGACCAGTAATCAAAATTGCTCTCGTATTTTTGAGGGGTAATTGACCATAGTAGCTTGCGCCTATGTGCCTATGGGAAATCTCGAACCCCAGATCAACAATTTTTTGTAAAATAAGAGTGAAATCTCTAGGTAGTGTCTTATCTACTATTTCATCTGTCTTCCAAAATTTTAACTCTCAAAACTCTCTTAACACAGCAAAAGATAGAGAGTCCGGAAGAAGTCAAAGCTTTCCAAGCCCACAGTGTTATTATTAGAATCAAGTTTGATGGTTAAAGTGGAGGAATGCATCGGGCCTATTGTGTGATAGAAAAGTACCGCTTAGACTTGAAGGAAAATTTTATAAGATGGTGTCGGTCAAATAAATGTTGCAATTTAATTTATATATGACTATAATTTAAAAAAAAATTAATATTTTAATTTAGAAAAGTGAGATCAAATAGACCTTACATATTTGATAGTTTAGATGGTTGAACACAGTATCACAAGTAATACATTCTCCCGAGGGATATACATATCACTTATTGATAGGCTTACCCACCTAAACTAAAGAATTTGTGACATCTATTTGATCTGCGAAACTTTTTTTTTTATAAGCCGACAAGTTCTCCTATTTAATACAAAAGATTAAATATGATTTATATTAAACTGAGTTCTTAAGTTCCCTATAGTGGCAAGACCCTATAATTAATTACATCTTAAGCAATTAAAATCACCTAATAAGACTCTCAATTAAGATAAGTGGTTCTGTCTTCAAGATTTTAAATTTTAGGCTTCCAAGATTGGACATAGGAAAATCGAAAGAGAATGACTCAAAATAGGAACATGCATTTTTAAGAGTCAAAAGAGTGAAAGATATGGGATGTCACAGATCCAAGGGAAACCCCAGGGACTTCCCAAGTATCCTATTATTTGACTTTAACTTTGAAAATATGTTATTTGTGTTTCATCCTGCCAATTTATTTTAGAATTTATGACTTATATTCACACGATATCTGATTGTGCAAATGGCCTAAGAAGATAAGAGGATTTACGTCGTATCGAACGATGACCATGGAATCCTAAAGGGAATTAGGACTTATAATGCTCGATAGGGTCGTGCAAAAGCCTAAAACGGAAGTGAGGATTTATGTCGCATCAAGCAAACTAACTTGAAGTCCTATGGGTTTGTTATTTATTCTATGAAGATTCCACCCAAGGATCGTCCTCTACTTTGTTGTTGTGGTCTCGATACTCTCCCTCCATCCGCTTGCTTCCACGTTCCGCTTCCTGGAAAGGCTGCTCCAAGCTTCTTAACATATCGATCAAAGGTTTGGGGTTTTGGTGTGTATAAATATGTAGTTGTTAGGTCAGTGGCTTGTTATAGGGTGTCTCCTTAACCGGATGTCCTACTGTCCTCTATCCTAGTGATCCCTACAAGTCTATAGAAGCAACATGAATAATAAAAAGGAAACATGCTACGAAGCGCAGTAAACAATAAACAGTACCATCCCAAGCATGAACTATATTATATGCAGTAAAGTGCGGTAAAGAAAG